TCAGTGATGATAGGAAACACTAGTACTTATCTGGTGTGTGTCTGTACTTTAAATGTGTGTGTGTGGTCTTACAGCAATGGGGGTGTTGGGTGCAGTGCGCCTGCGTAAGGACAGACGTTGCTGGCTGCGTAGTGAGAACCTGCGGATGGATTCCCTGCTGCGGGAGGCCAGCGAGCGCAGGGAGCTGGTTCTCTTGAAGTGCCCGGTCTCATCCTCTTCCCTGCCTCCCCTCTCCACAGAGCTGGATAAAAAGCTGAGCGCCCCGTGAAGGGAGCGACGGACATTTCCCACCCATCCCGACACCTGAGAGTGAGCCACTGACAGCTTGTCTCCCAGATACTCCATCACAACCCACTGCTAGTACTACCTGCTGTGTCAGAACAGTCTCTGAACTGAGCTGTGACTCTTGTCAGGTGCTAGGTGCTCACTGATGCGTGTTGCTGGGTCAATACTGCAGCAGTGAGGAACAACAACACAGCTCAGCCGGTTCGACGTGGGGATGCTGGTGGTGTTTACTGCAGCACAGAGGATGCCTGTAAATCCCTGACCATTACAGGACCGAGCCACTTCTCAATTTCACTTCTAAATGGCTTTTCTAAATGTAGTGCAGTCCCACGAGAGCCGTCAGGACTTTCTTTAAACTCATCACCATCAAGACTCCAGGCCGGTGGCCTAAGTGACTTGTGAAGCTTTCTAAAGTCTATTTCAATGCACACACAATATGCTAGCTATGATGTTCCTGGCAAAAGGTCCAAGTGGGCATGTAAAGGCTACATATAGCCAACACTTACAATTAGTTACACAGGGCACCACTTAAGAATATAGCATCAAAATCTGTCACGCTGTCTACCAACAGGTTTCTCAGCCATGTTTGTCTGGCTTCAAGAGCACAAATAACAAACTGTTAGAGTACAAATGTGACGAGCAGAACAAACAACTGTTAGAGTACAAATGTGACGAGCAATAACAATCAGAACCTAGACATATGATTTATGTTGAACACAGCATTTGGTTTGCTATTTCCGTCATAGGTCGACTGTGCTAATAATTCTGAGACTGAGAATTGCTCTGTGCCGCCACCACCACCAGTCCTCCAGGTGAGAGCTTCTCTGTCCTCGATTAATTTGACAGCTCTCCCAGATCCAGATTAAAAGTTGAAGAATCCATCCATCCAACAAAGCTACATCCTTGTGTTGCGTAGTACTATGCTAACTTCTGGCAAAAAAAAAAAAAGAACTGCAAGGAGAAATGGTGCAGGACAGCTGGTGCCAAAAGGAAAACTGCTGTAGTCATTCATACTCCATAAGGGCAACCAATGCAGTGCCAAAGAGAGGAAACGGGAGGTGGTACTGTGGTGGGGAAGTCAAATCCAGAGGTGAAAAGAGGAATGGAGGGAAAACGTTTCTCTCCTCGCCTTTTTCTGCAGGTATGGGCAGGTAAGAGAAAATGCGTCAGCAGTGCTTCTCTCTGCACTAAGCGATATAGGACTCACCGTCAAGGAAAAGCTGGGTGGAGAGTGAGGGAGAGAGAGAGAGAGAGAAGGGGAGGTCCCTGATTCAAAGTGGGAAGGAGAGAGGAGAGTGATATATGCTCTGCAGTGCTCTGTCGCTCCAGCCTGATTCAGTGGCAGGGCAAGACAGTGAAGTATCACAAACAGAAACAGGACTAAAAAGAAGAATGAATGATATCAAGCCATTAAACAGCACCTCTATTCAAAAGAGAACAAGAGCACCAGAGAAAGGCAGGATAACAAAGTGTGACATAAATCAGATATGAATGAGGACAAGTGAGTGACTCTGCTAAAGACACAACTATAAATAGATAATTAGACATGCATGAGAAAGGAAAGTGAAAAAAAAAACCAGGTGTGGCTCTACCAACAAAAGAACACTGCAATGTTGCTCATCAACCTGTTTGTCAGCACAGTGTAGCCGGAAGCCAAAATCACAGCAGTCTAGTCAGTGTTTGCTTAAATCTCACTCGGACACCAAGAAACAGGCCTGGTACCAGGTTTCTGATCACCTAAATGAACCCACAGTGGGCAACTCCAGGCGCACTACAAAGAGTTAACCTCAGAGGAAACTGGGACAGAGGGGCTCATAAAAGCTATCCACATATGCCCTCTGCAGGTAAACAGATGACTGTTTCTTGGAAGTGCTGTGTCAAGAGCAAGTCTGCTGTGAGGTGCTTGGTTTCCAACAGCACACAAACCTTCCTGAATAATTTTTAACCACAAAGTGCAAGGTGATATTATTACTATATTTTTTTCTTTCATTAATAGTGTGTTATCTCAGTATTATCCCCACATGATAATCAAGTGGAGATAATCCTCAAATAATCAGTCCATTACTGTATTCTATCAACAGAACATTTATCTCCAGCCACTGTGAGTGTCAAGGAATTATTTAAGTCATTTCTTTAGAAAAATGCCAAATATTTGCCAGTTTTACAGCCCTGTAAATGTCTTTTTGATTTGGACTACTGGTTGTGAAAACAAGCAATTAAAAAGATGTCACTCTGGGCTCTGGAAATTACCGTGTAAGCCATACTCATAAGTCACCTAAAAATGTATTATATCCCCCATGTTCACAATAATTTGGGACCACATATACTGGTAGCTAGGATGATGGATGGCAGGAAAGCTCACTTCCCTTCTACTGCTTAAAAAAAAAGGAAAAACACAAAGAAGAACAGAAAATGTCAGAGGCATGGCATAAAAACTCTGTAGCAAGACGAATCTTGAATCTTATTACTGCCCCAAAATAATAATCTTCATCCTCGCACTAAGCATCAGCTAGTGGAAGTGACTCACGGCAGCTCATCACTTCCCTTCTTCTGCTGACCTCATCATTCTGTGCACAGCCTAAGCCAGAAGCTCAACCAGCAGCTACACAAAGAAGACGATACAGGATGTAGGACAAACACTATACTGTATCACTACCTACTGTACATTCAGTATTATATCCACCATAGGAACATCTATAATAATACAGCTGTGCTGTCACTTACCCAGAGGCAGTGTGGAGTCAGGCAGCATGACCACACGTACAACACAGCTCTCAGCCTGGTGCCCATCTCTGCTCTGTGACACTCACCTGCTTCAGACCCTCTGACCAGTGATGTCACCACACAGCTACTATTACTTCATCAGTGAGAGTCTGAGGACTCCTCCGCCAGCAAATACAACTTAAAGAAGTATCATATCATATCTTATGCTTGATAACGTTCAGATTTTGGCATTAAACATTTGTAATTTTTGTAACTCCTGTAGCCAAATTCTTTACCAAACTTACAAATCAAATTCAATCAATTTAACACCAAGCCATGGTGTTTACGAGTTTTTATTTGTGGTGGCACTGTTATAGTTTTATAATATATTAATAACAGTTTGATTACATCATATGAATGTGATATTTTCTTTGATCTTAACTAGAAAATCTTTAGTTTTACACCGAAATCTGTAAAGTTAAAACTATCCCAGGTCACAGTCAAATTCAGCTGTACCATTCAGCAGACATTTGAATTACAAACACTAGTTCCTGTGATTGCACACATGTAACGCAGCAGTGTGTAGTGTGTACGCAGGGACAAACACTGCAGTCACTCAGTGGAATTCAAACTATTTTTATTTTACTATTTTCAATTTCACATCACATTATTTTATTGTGTGTAACTACTCTTGTGTTTGATTCAATTGTTGTAATAATCTCCACTTCGGCATTTTAAACCAGAGCAGCAGCTCCAGTACCAGCCAGCAGATGATTGTAGCTCAGCTGCTTTCAGTCCAAAGACACATACACTGACTGCAGGACCGAGACCAGTACCTGCCCTGACAGCAGCCAGGGCGACGCTCACAAGCTTAAACACAGCCACCAGATGGTGGCAGTGATTGTAAACTCTTGGTGACACACTGTTTCATGGCACAGTGCAATTATGACGCACAATACGCTGTAGCTCTGGGTTGGCCTTCAACCTGGGCCTACAATTATAGTCTCAGTGACAAAGAGCCAACTGAACCCAACCCTGTACATCTGACAAACAATGGACATGCTTGAATGCACATGATGTAAGTGTGTATGGGGTGTACGTAGGAGTTTACCAATTTCAGAAAATACAAAAACTGATTTAACCTGGAAGGTTAAAAGCTGGGAATGACAGGTGCGACCCAGCAGCAGAGGGACAGTCACACAACTTTGCTTGATCATTACAAGTCACTTCAGTTCACAGCACTCCCTGAGCGACACTGATCAGTTAGAACATGTACTCATTAGCCATTTGTTTAATTCAGTCCTGAATTACAGGTCTGAGAAGCTGCAGCTGCCACTTCCCTGAAATGTGACATGGGCAGGGTGGGGTTGAACCTACAGTAGGAGTCCATGCTATGAAAATTAGTCACAGAGTCCTAACAACCTGAGCACAGCAGCAATCAGCTTTCAGTGGTCAGTGAACTAACTGGGTTCCAGTTCTAACTACTCCTCTTTGCATGAGACACTCAGCCTCAAACACACACAGAATACTGCACATGCACGCCCCCCTCTGTGTCTCACAGGGCTGCGTGAGTAACAGGCCAAACAAAAAATCCGTGTCTCACAGGCCTGCGTGAGTAACAGGCCAAACAAAAAACAGGGACTGAATGAAAGGAGCACAGCCAACAATCAAACTGAAGCAACGACCTGGAGCAACAGCTTCAAATCTGAATTCAAGTTTTGTTTGAACACAGTTTACCATAGCACAGACAGAGCTGCAGTCTGACTTGGCTAGACTGACCACATATTCTCCATCTAAAATGACACTTAAAATGGCAGGACAAAAATTATAACAGCTTTGAACTTGGCTCAAAGGCTCTGTCATTTCTGTTTCCTGACTTCTGCTGTTTGAGTGCCCACTAGTCAGAACAATAACATTTGCACAAATATAAATGCAAGAGCTATGCAACTGTCTCTGAAGGACAGGCGCATTCCCATACATGCAGTGATGCATAAGTATAAATCTGACTTTACCCAGCTGTTGCGCTCCTGCTGTCTGTGGGCACTGTGACTCCTCATCCTGGAAAGGCTTCCCTCCACGCCACCGCCTGAAGGAGCTGATCGCCGTGACACACTGCGTGAACGCATCCTGTTCAGCTCCTAACAACACATACAGGGACCAGAGTGAACTCCGCGTCTGCATCTCTCTAATACACATCTCCTCTGAAAGCTGCTCACTACCAGGCAACGGTTTGTTGTCAGTCCGTGAGAGACATTCATATACCACATCATAATTTGGATTAAACCCTCTTAGAACTACATTCAAACTTTCTGACTTTTTCAGGTGCAAATTTACTGCTGGACAAAGTAGTGCTTGGCCCACCGAGGGCACTGTGTTGCCCTCGAGTACCATAGCTTTCAGGTAGAGGTCTTCACTTTGCTTCTGACTTTGCTCATTGTGGTCGGGTCGGCTCGGGTCATGTTTCACTGTCTCGGGTGTACCACTACATTCAAGATCCAAGTGGATCCGAACAGATCTGAGCCTGAGTGGTATATGACTGATGATGTGGCGCCTCACAGTCACTGTGGGAGACACTTAAATGAGGCAAGTGAGCTTTTTTTATATCTTCAACAAATTAATCATTACATGAACTCATGCCACAAGCAAGGCTACCATTCAAACATTGTGAAATGATATTTATTCTAAAAATCTAATCAGACCAGTCTTTTCCCCCCAAAAGTTCAGTTTATAAGCTATCCATTTTTTAGTAGCTTTTAATTAAACTGTTAAAAATATATTCTGTCTTTTTACTGCCTGGCAAATCACAGCATATTTTATTGTTGCAGGAGCTGGAAATAGAACTTTGCATTTCTATTCTATTCTATATTGCTGCGCTTTTCCATTGCTCCTGTTTGTTACTTGATCTAATTAGGCATCAGTGTGGTTTTTGGTTGTGTCTGCTCGGGTGGACCATGTTTTGCATCGGGACCAGTTGTCTTTGGGTATATTCAGGTCAGGCTGGCAGAGTTTGGGTCCTTCTCGGGCTGGGTCTCTATTTTTTTTTTGAGAATTTATTTATACATGTTGGGTTTGCGTCTGTTTTCCATGGCCTGTTTTGGGTCTAAATGTTTGGACCTGTGAAGACCTCTACCTCCAGGTGTGAATGTGTAACTGTGTCACTGTGAGCAAGACACTCAGTGAACACCAAAACTCTTTAAAAGACTCCAAATGCACATAATGTATTACTTTCTACTAGAAATTACTGATTTGTGTCTGACTGACCTGTGACCCATGTGACTTCCTGCGGCTCTGGGCCCCTCGCTTGCTGTCTTGAGGCTGTGGCTCTCTGGGGATCCAGATCTGCTCTGCAGGAGCGCTGCTGGAGGCTCCAGAAGGGAGGCTACCAGTTTTGGCTCCAGGAGAAGGGGCCAAGTGCTCATCCTGCATAGAAGAGAAGTGCCTCTGTGGAGCCAGGAGCCGCTCCTCCTGCCTGAGGAGGTGCTCTTGACTGAATTTGTTAACCTGCTGTCTGGGTTCATCCACAAGCATCTCAACAGGTCGCCGCTCCCATGGGTCCTGAGCAGACGTTGTCCATACTGCGCTGGAGAAACCTAATGAAGTCTGCGGTGGCACCTTCCAAATAATATCTCTCTCAGGTGTGGGCTGCAATCTGGCCCCAGACCCAGAGTCTACGCCCTGAACACTAGAAAAAGAAAAGTCTTTACTGGGGGAGATCTGTGACTGAGATGTGAAAGAGTCTATGTCTAGGATGCCAGGTTTGTAAGACTCTTCTGCTCTGGGAGACGGCTCCTTCCATCGCACGGTGTGGTCACTGCGTTGAGAAGGAGCCTTGGAAATTGGGTCATTTCGAAGCACGGAGTCCAAATCCACCACTTTAGGTCTTAGAGATGAAGACTCTAACCTCACCCTTTCCTGCTCCTCTTTCCTCTGCTTCTCTTTCAGGCGCTGCCTCTCTGCTTCTTGCTGTTTGGCGACCTGTCTCATTTTATCTGCCTCGTCCCTTTCCATCTTCTCCCTTAGTCTGCATTTCTCAAACTCCAAAATTCTTTGCCTGTCCCTCTCTACCTGCTTTTGCTTTTCAAATTCCATAAGCTGTCTTCTCTCCATCTCTTTCATCCTCTCTACCTCATCCCTCTTCTGCCTTTCTTTCTCCAGGTCTCGCTGTCTCAGCCTCTGGTTTTCTAATTCTTGGCTTTCAGCATCTAGTTGTCTCTGTCTCTCCCTTTCTAAGTCTCTTTGTCTCTGCCTCTCCAGTTCTCTCTGCTTTTCCCTCTCAATCTCTCTCTGGTGCTCCTTCTCCATTTCCCTTTGTCTTTCTCTTTCTTTATCAAGCTCTCTCAGTATCAACATTTCCTGTTCTAGTGCCATCTGTCTTAGTTTCTCTGCATCCTCTCTCTCCTTCTTTTCCCTAAGTCTCTGCTTCTCGAGCTCGGCGACCTGCTGCCTCTCCTTTTCTTTCTGCTTCTGTTGTTGAAGCTCTAAAAGCTGCTGTCTCTCCAACTCTTTAATTCTCTCCAGCTCCTCCATCCTCTGTTTCTCTTTTTGGATTTCCAGCTGCTGTCTCTCCTTGTCCAGCTCTCTCTGCCTCTCTTCCTCCCTTTGTCTTTGCCTCTGCCTTTCCTGCTCTTGCAGTTTCTCTCTTTCAATCTCTCTCAGTCTCTGCAGTTCTTGTTGTTTTTCTCTCTCAAGTTGCCGCCGCCTCTCTTTTTCCATTTCCCTTTGTTTCTCCCTCTCCAATTCTTGCAGTTTTTGTTTTTCAAGCTCTATCTGATTCTGTCTTTCCAGTGCAAGTTGTTTCTGCTCCAACTCTTGTTTCTCCTTCTCGAAGGCTTTCTGCCTTTGCCTTTCAAATTCTCTTTGCATCTCTCTCTCCTTCATTTGTGCAAATTGTAAATGTGCTTGTTTCTCTAGTTCAAACTGTCTCTGTTTTTCCCTCTCAAGCTCTTTCATATAACCCAGGTGTTTCTCTGTCTCCTTTTTCAGTTCCATTTTCTTTTCAACCTCCATCATTTCCTCTGTCTGTGTATCCAACGCTGATCTGATCTCCCTGTGTGACATGTGTCTCCTCATCATCAACTCCTTGACTAGATCTTGAGATTGAGAGGTTTTTCCAAAAGCTTCTTCTAATGATGGATTCCTCCTCAGTGAAAACGTCCTCCCTTGAGAGCCAGCCAGAGCAGACCTCATAGAGATGTCTTCAGAGAGCACAGTCATGTCTCCCATATTTGCTTCTGCACCTACAGGAGAAAGTGTCTCCTGTATTTGTCCAGTCAAAGCAAAGTAGGTTGCCCTGGGTTTCGGCTGTTCTTCCGCCTGCAGCATTTTCAGACGTTTAGGTGCTGCTGTCACTTCCTCCTGCTCTATCTGTCTCTGTCTGTCTCTGTCATTGTCCAAAGCCACTTCCCTTTGTGATTCCTTTGGTGTCCCTTTCTCCACACCTGAATCTTGGTCAAGATCTGTCGTGGCCCACTTCTGCAGAGCTCTGACTCTCAGATATCGTGGATGCTGTTCTGGTTTCACGGCCAAGGCCGGTTCTCCTTGTGCTGAACCAGTCCCTTCTGCCGTAAGCCCGCTCCCTTCTGAGCGCCTGGGGCGCAGTGTCATGGCCTTATCCTCCCACAGAGCTGAGGGGACATTCTCACTCACTGCCCTGTTTTCTTCGACTGCTTGCACTGTGTCAAAGGCATGGAACACCTGCAAAGGACTTGACGGAGATACAGGCTCTTTGTAGGTGGCAGTGACCAGAGTTCCCTTGTGATCACTATTTCCACTTTTAAATGATGGACTGCTGAGTGAATCCTTGGTCTTGTTTACAGGTTTAGCCTCGTCCACCATCACCACACTGTGCCTCTCCACAAAATTATCAAACAAGGATGCTCGCACCGTCTGTACTTCATCACCGGGACTACTTTCCTTGGAAGTGAGGCCAAGCGGCTGTCCTGCCTCAGGTCCTGGATGGGTGGAGGTCTTTATGAGCTGCTCTTGAAAATCTTTTAAATCCACAAATGTCCTTGGGTCACTGGGGGTGACAGCTGACTCTTCAGTCTGAGAAAATTAAGAACTATACTGAGAATTGTTAATTGTTAACAGCAAGCTTGCAACTTACTGTCTATTAACTGAACATTTATTCTTTTTTCTTAAACATTTTCACTATATAAAACACTACGGAACAATATACTGTATATGGAATAATCTGAAAGAAATAAAAGCTTTAAAAAACTACTCTGAACTAAAATATTCTTTACTATGAAACCAGAGATCCTAACCAATGTGACTTGACAACAAAAGAGGAGAAAACACAGCACATAGTGACTGAGTGAACAGCTGCCAGCGTAGAAACGATATCTCCTTGTTCTACTCTGACCTCAACACCAAGGGTGTGGTGCAGAGGTGGTAATCAAAGTCTCTCTGTGATGACTTTTCCCCCACTGATCTCCTCTGTGTGTGTGTATCATAACCGACAGCCGCATTAATGTGTTGGTTGTGTTAGGTTTAACAGCTTTACACAACTGGTGACAGTAACAATTCATTTTGCTGCAATGACCCATTTCCTCAAGGGAAATTTTCTGCTGACTGCACAGAGACAAAGGTTGACAAGTGATGTTAGCTCTCTTTTAGGTAAAAGGTGTTTCCTATTCAAATTTATAGCAGTATCTACATAGGCAAATACAATGAGAATCTTACTTAAGAAACCTCACTGGAGCAGTGCAAGTGAAATGTTTGTGAATGCAGGGGTGAATACTTCTGTTTTAAGAAATTGTATGTATAAATTTATTTGCCACCTTGAGGACTGAAAATGAAATAATTACAGTTGTATCAACGTATGAGAAATGCAAGTATGTTTAGGGGCATAACATGTGAAAGCCTTTCCTGTCGATAAGCTATAACACTGTTGCTCATTGTTATTCTCATTTGCCTACTAAACATAGACTGAGCCCAACAGAAAGCAGTCTCTATGAAGCTGCATCCCTCTCTTACCCTCCTCTGAGGATCTTTGCTGAGCTCATGGCGGTCTGTTGCCTCACTAAGGGAAACACTGCCAAGGTCTGGTGACCTCTCGGATGAAAACCTGACAAACACACATCACACAAAACAAAATCCATGCATGACAATGGAACTTCTGGACAAAGACGAAGGACAAAAGCAAATTGAGGCGATAGAGCAGCTCTTACCTTTTAGTTAGGTCGAGGGGCAGGGGGCGGACCTTCACTGCTGGTTTGGTGACAGGACTTGGTGTTGATATTGTATCCTCGATCAGCTGCTTAATGAGCTTTTTCACACCCACTGGTGGCTCAGTTTCAGGAGTCGGCTGCACTGGAGAGGGAACATCTGACCCTTGGCTTGTGGGACTTTCCACAGGAGAGGAGGATGAATCAAGGAGGAGACTGATGCGTGACTTGATGCTAGTCCCACACTTATTCTCGTCAGTCTCTTTCACAGTCATTTCTTCTGTGTTTTTGTTGCTTTGGTGTGAGACAACAGGCTTAGCTACACCATCAGGAGCAGGACTTTGTGGTGTGGGTGTGGTTTTCTCTTCCTCTCTCTTCTGTGGTGGTACCTCCTCCTGTGGGGTGTTCTCCTTAGTGTTTGCTTTAAGAGTTTTACGGTGTAGCGAAAGACCAATAGACTCAAACTTGGATGTGAGATCGGCTGAAAGCGGCCGTCTCCCACCCCCCCAGCGAGGGGCAGGAACTGGTGTCTCACTCTTGGTTGGACTGTCAAGAAAAATGGCTGATACAGGTCTGGGCCTTGCACATCTGGGCTGGGGTCGCAGTGGCACAGGTTGACCTTTTTCCCCTTCTTCTTCCTTCTCTTGCTCTACATCAACAAGAAAACCCAGAGACTTGGCTCTGGTAATGGAGGCCCCATCTTTGTCGGATGTTATCTGGTCCTGCTTCTCTTCTTCCTTTTCAGCAGTTCCAGACCACTCTGCAGCTGGAAGTGTTTTCAGGCTCTTGGAATGGACTGAGCTTGATGCACCAGGTTTCTGCCTTGCTGCTGGCACAGGAGGAGTGGGTTTGCTGGGGTCTCCAGGGTCAAGAGGGGGGGCTGGTTTAAATGGCTGGACTACTGGCTTGGCTGTTTGTCCACTGTTCAAATTATTAGAGGTTTTAATGGTGGCTGGGGGAGGGCGGTTGAGGTTGGTTGACAACGGTCTGGGTTTGCCAGTGGCAACTGGTTGCTGTGGTTTTTGATTGGATGGAAGCTCTGGTTTGTATCCAGCTAGGTGAGTGGACTCTGGTCTGGGCTTGGTTTGGGGCTTAGGAGCAGGTATTGGCTTAATAGTGGGGTTTTTATCCACAACAAAAGGTTTGGGAGTGAGCCGAGGCTTGGGTGCAGGGACAGGTTTGTTTGTTTCTGGATTGATGATATGAGACTGGTTGATGGAAGGGATCTCAGTGAGGTTCTTATTGCTGGAGCCAGTCAGGGGACTCAGGTGAAGTCGTCCTCCCGCCATCGTCCTCCCTACCTCTCCAGTCTGAACCTCCACCTCAGCAGCCATCCTCATCAACAGCACCTTTAAATAAAAAGAAAAAGGCCTATCTATGGTCATTTTTATTATTGAGGTGTCTGACCACGGCACACAGCATCGGCTCATAATTAGCCTCATGACACTAACTCTATCTAGCCATTACTGTGGACTTTGTCATGGGAGTGCCTTGCACAGCAGCACAATGGTACATGTGTGAGAAAGATATTTACACAAGATTATTGATCAGTCAGGCAGGTTAAAGCACACATGTTGATAATCAATGACCATTTTATCATCCACATTGACAGACCTTTCTCAGAGAAGACATTTTGACATAACACTGATGGACTGCACAGGTGTGAATAATAAGTAATAATAGTAATTTCACTGAGCCATTTCAGACTCAGGGTCTTGGTGTCTCACTGTCTGTAAATAAGACCTTTTTCACAGCAGACCTTTTGATTTTTCAAGGACCTAATAACATTAACAATGACTCAGATCTAATGACGTTCCCCAGTGAAACTGGAGTCAGTACAACTGTTGCCTCTGTTGAAAGATTATAATTTTGGGTAATTTAATACAATACTTCTTAAATTAATCATAATACATCTGAATAATTCCTGTAAAACGTGCAGCACTAAGTTAAATTACTGGTGCATCAGAGATCTGGATTGGCTACCTGTTAATGTGGATCCTGAGATGGGGATAGGCTGGACAACTGTACAGTGTCATTGGTTTTTCTTTTCATGTTGTAACAGGCAAAACAGGCTTAAACGGTGAATGGGGGATTCCACTGTAAACTCATACCAGATTTCCATTAATGATGTAGCTCCTCCTCAAAAGAAAATTTAGATGTCTATCCTAAATGAACTCTTCAATCTGAAAAAGGTATAGTGATAAATATCAGCTGACACACTACAACAATAATACGTTTTATCAGTTGTTTCTATTGTAAGAATGAAGAAAGGAAACATAACTCAAGCATTTCTGCGTTAGACCTTTAAGAGGCTCCTTCTTCACATCTGCTAATGCTTTCCACATGTTGCTGTGTTGAGATATTCCTTAGTACAGACCACCAACAGCTCTTTCAGAAAAATGACATGCTGGATGAGACTGCTGCAAATAATCCCAACATATCTTACCTGACCAGATGTCAACCATCTGCTGTAGAGCTCTGGCACTTGTTGTAACCAAGCAGTGATGTCATATCACACAGGAGACAGGAATCAAAGGAACCTAAAAGAAACAGACTGCGTCAACAAAGCTTTTCACTGCTTAAAACTGCTGGGCTTAAGGCTGTGGTAGGCAAATCACAGCAGAGCTATTATAGGGCTGTGCAAATGCTTTCTTCACTGTTGTGCTGTCACGCCTCCATAGAGAAGCAACATGATGATAATATTTACACTGACACAGGCTTGAGTAAACATAGTCACACCCATACATTTGAGGTGATGGCATACACTCCGGCATACCAAACAACAACAACAAAATACAGAAGGAAAGTTGTTAATTGAATGTTGCTGTGTGTTAACTTTTCCTGTTGCTACATCTTTATTATGCCCTAAATCACCGCTCCTCTGTCCTCGCTCTCATGCAACATACAATACCTACACGCTGAGCTAGAAATGCTCTTCACAGCGCTGCTTACTGTTCAGTTCCATAGGAGCAATATTTACTCTTTTCTGTGAATTTCAGCCACCTGCGTACTAAGTGCAAACCACTTAGCTGCCGGTTAATTTATTTTAATCCATAAATGTACTACACAAATATGGAAAATGAAAAAAAAAGTAAAATGATGGTGAAAAAACACAAAGTGACCTGCAGGCAGCTAACAGAAATTGTAAAGTTGAACTTTGGATGGTTACAGCAAACGCCTTCAGCTTAGATGGAATGCTAAACATTTGCTGTGATGGTGGGTTAAGCAGCACAGCAGGGATTAGGACAGCCTTTTACAGCCTACAGGAGTACCCTATTTAAAGCTTGTTAGTAAAAGCCACAAATAGCAACAGTCAGTCTGTATTTCTTCTAGTACAGTATGTGCATATGTTAATTATTCAAAACATTTGGGAGGCATCCCTAAGAAGTAGGTGTAGCACAAATCAGACATTACTTTGATTTCTTGCAGAAAGTACATACAAAAAGGAAAATGGCATAGAGTAAGCCAGCAGTGTTTTTTGGGTTTTGACTCAGTGTGTAACAAGCAAAAGATAATACAGAAGAAACTTCCATACAACAGACAACATTATACCAATTTAACTGTTACCAACTAAAAGAAGTATAATATTTCTCAAGTGAGTTCTCACATAGTGTACAACGTTTTAAATTACAATCTAATGTAAAAATGCAACACCTAAAGCTACAATGCAAGTTATCTGGTGTTATCTGAGAAGCCTGAATACAGTGTATCCTGGATGTAATATCAGTATTTATAAGAAGAAGACCCGGAAGATGAAGCTAATATTCCTGTTTTCTTGCCATCAAAAACTAGTTTAAAACAGGGGAAAGCACAATTAAAAATGTCTGTACATGTTCCACGGTGTGCATCCCAAAAGGAACATAAATACATCCAACACAGAGCTCCAGAGTAGTTATTCAACTGAATCTAAATAGCATTACAGCAGCAGCTAACTTTTATTACAACCCACATCAATGTAGCAATTAATATAATGGCCAGTCCCAGTCCGGGATTTACAAGAAGTGTTCCCGCTTCATCCAGTCCTGTGTGCTCACCTAAACTACCTCCTATCGTAGACAATAACGTTACCCAGTCCACTTTAGCACGACAGAGCTGGCCTGCTCAGGATAGGACTGCATTTACTGCACCAAACCTGTGCACAAGCACTGAACGAGCACGGTTCATTTAGAGCAAACATAGATTACAGGCTGTCTACAAACTGGGCGACTTTAAATAACAGGGAAGTTAAAAGCAACAGCTTGCTGGCTAGCAACCAGGAGCTAACAACTCAAGAAGCTGAAAAACACTGACTGAACCTGTTTGATCAGAGTTGGAGACAACTTACCAAGCGGGAGTCTGTTAGCCTCTTGTCCTTTTCGAAACTACTTCAAACTCGACGTATTTAGCCGACTTAGCAAAATACCTACGAACATTAACAGCTAACTTATGCAGAGGCTATCCACAAAGCTATCTTAGCTGGTTTAACTAGCTAGCCAACTGGCTGGCTATCCCGTGTCAGGTTGCAGTGTTGTTGACACGCTGGACTAGACACCTCCGCGCAAGGACTGACTGATTAGCCTCTACTCCAGAGTCAAGCGAACCAGCGCGACCTGTGTTCCGGACATTACTTTCAAAACAAATGTAGGACAAACATACACTCGACTAATCATAGAGCCAAACTGGTACTTTAGAATAAAGACCAGTTGCAAAATTTATACTCAAATGAAGATGCATCAATTTTGCTCTACGAGACAACTCTTTGTTGACTAACGTAAGTCATTGTTGCAACCAATATTTTATTGTAGCAAATCACCCTAACTTCCGGTTTAATATTGAGATGAATGTGGATAACATGACAAATATTTACCTTGACTCTAGACTGAAAGCAAAATAATGTGATTGCGCGAGAAATACACCGTTCCAGCCATATATATTTAACTGGTCAATTCCAAGTGAAAAATAAACACATTGGTAGTGACTGTTTAAAAAACGAAAACAGATTAAGATTTTGGTGAATTCCTGTCTGAAGAAACACACCGGTTATATATGAACAAGGAAACTTACAGAATTCACTTCAGTGTCTTTATGAACTTCATGACAGAGTGACCCTAGCCTGGTAGTGATCAGGCAGTTCATGTATAAAATATTTATTTGGTGGCTGAGATTTAACTTTATAAAAAAAAAATGACTGTACTACACAGACACCAGACAGGTCAGGACTGCCCTCAGCTGGAGAAAAGTAAAGACTGCATCACTAAGATAACCAGGCATCATCCTACTTAATGATCCTTAGTGTTTGACCTTAGAAAACATGATCCACTCTTGTCCTTGGCATAAGATAATTGCAGAATAAAGAATCTGTTGATTGTGCATAATTGTTTATTCATTTCAACAGACTAGTTATGTTCACTAGCCTATAAACTTGCTCCAAATTAATGGTGAATACAGAACCCTCTAAACAAAACAGGATTTCACTCCACTTTTTTCAGGTTTGACAAGCATTCTTTAAATCTCAGCAATTCTGTAACTTCACACATTTCCAACACTGAAATTTAACTTAACGCTCAGGGTTAGCAAACATTCTAACACAAGATGACAGGAGAAAATGAATAAGTAAAAAGTGTGTGTTTATGGTTTCAGGCAGAATATACTGGAGTTCTGTTGAAACAACTGACCTGGTCTCTTTAATACAATACTGTTTTGACTTCCTCACAGTGGTATCAGGACTTTATGTGTCAGTGGTGTTGTTGTTACAAAATAATAGGGCACAGAACTCAGAATTTAAACCTATCCTCTTGAAGGGTACTGATGTGCTATCCCCAATTATTACCTATGATAAACACTGAAAAAAGTCCCCATATGCTCTTAGGTGTAGGGTCCAGATTAATGTGTGAGCACCAAGTGTCCTGGAAAGATCCAAAGGTGCAACGTACCTGCAGCTGGCTGACTGCTACTCTAGTATAAAGCACCCTAGAATGATCTTATCCTTATTATGCATGGGTCCTAGATGCAATGCTCAGGGCCGACTTCAGGAAAGATTGACATCCTACGGTAACCACTTTAATGAAAACCAGGTACCTAGAAGTTGTGAAAAACCTGAAGCACACATGATGAGAGCCAGCAGCTTGTTACTCCTTCATTCACTTAGCACCTGAACTAAATGTTACCCTTAACTTGAGTGACAGAGGGCTGCTGCAAAGCTCTGACCTAGTTGTGGAACAAAAATTAATGTAAATTAAACAAATCATGTAAAATGTGGCAGACCAAGGCAATGAAACAATGATTAAAGCAGCATGAACTATGCTTACAAACTAAAACTTATTTCCTTAGTTTATAGCTCCAAAAAGACCTGCATAGAAGAAAAAACAAAAGCAGTGGGAAGATCGAGAAACAACGCAACTAAATGAACTTCAGTGTTGTCTACTTTGTGTGAACCATGGATGTGCTGAACAGAAGTTTCTGCTTTTTCTTTTTCTTCTTTCCCCCTTTCTCATCTGAAAGAGAACACACCAGGGATAAGGGCAAGTCAGAACACATGCTTTGGCTGAAGACAAAAAGCATCAAAACTGAATCAAAATACAGTTAATTCCTATATTCCATACCTGGATCAACCACAGGTTGTGGAGGAGAAGCTAGACCATTGTCCAGCTGCAGAAGTGCTTTCTCAAAGGCCTGGCTAAAGGAGTTTTGGAAGCTGGGCACCGGAACCCGGTCCGACCCGTCACTCTCTCCATCGCTGTCTGCTGCTGGGGGAGCTAGCAGCTTTTCTGCATGGCACAAAACAATAGTGACTTCAGGAAACCTTCAAGGATTTACACTGTTGAGCAGCCTTAATAAAAGGCTTTAAAGCTATAGAAAGTGTTCAGACCCCTTCACTTTGTGCACACTTTTTTGTAAATTTTATTTTAAATCGATAAAACTGAATTTTTTGCATCAATTCACACTGACTGATGAACTAAGATGCTAGTTTAATGTATTTTACACCTACAGCACAGTCAAGTGCACAGAGTGAAGCAAAATGAAAAGGTTCTGACGCCTTTACAACTCAACAAATAAAGAGATGTATTCCTTTGTAAACAGCACCCAACAGATCACTTGATAAGTGAAGCAAGGTTTCAGTTGGTGTTAGTTTACTGATGTAGGTTTGGTGTCATCAGATCTTCACTTTTCGATAAAAAAAAAGCTATAAAAAGACCATCAAAAATGTGTTATTATACATTCTGTATATTAACAGCTCTAGAAACGATAGACCTCTTAATTGTCTCCTAGCTTAAGTAGAATCAACCTGTTTAGTGCTTTTTGTATTAAAGGTGACAAGGTGAACTGAAATCTTTACCACTATTTTAACTGTCCCAGTAAATGCTGGGTAGGCTATGGCAGCTCGTCATAAGAGGCCTGCATGAAGTATTATGTGTATTACAACACAGTTTGAACAGAATGCAAACATCTACAAATGAACTCGAAAACTCCAAAGTGCAGCAGGTATTAATTTTGTCTTGAACTTTCATTTCTGACAGGAAACAGGGTTAAAATTAAATGCAACCTTACTGTACACATTTGATAAAACATTGAATATTCTGGACTCAATATTTAATGTAGAACCTGAAATATATGACATTTTCAAGTTCCCGTGTTAAACCTTCAGACACTGATTCCTATCCACAGCATCAGCAGTCTCATTCACCTTTCTTTGGAGTGATCCTGGGTCCAGCATCAACTCTGGCTTTCCCATCTCTGAGCATCTACACAGGACACATTCAAGGTCACTCCATGTGAAGTAAGTGCTACAACATGAGCACTTCAGTTATGATGTGCAGTTTTAATCAACAGACATGTGTATTTGTCATATGCACCTGTGCGAAGGACATGCAGTGGGAGTCGTCCTCCACACTACCCACAATGGGTGAAGAGTTTTGCCCATTCAGACTTGGGAATATCATGCCATCTAAGACAACAGAAGAAATGCTCAGTTCACATCTGTTACCACACAGAAATAGTCATGCAAAGGAAGAAAGTGCTCTTACTAGAGGAAGGACTGCTGCTGAGGGATGAAAGAGAAGCAAAAGTGATGTCAGCTTCGATCGGGGGACTGCTGTTGTGAGGTGGAGAACCAAACGCTGGGAAATGCTTAAGGTTTTCTAGTCCAATATGCACCTCGGGATCTGTGAGGGACACACAAGTGCAAATTGTCACAGCGATCCTTGTACATTTCTCTGGATCATCATTTGAAGTAGGTATCATGAACTGCTCAGCTGGACTTACATTTTCCCTGCTTCTTGTTCTCCTCAATTTCAATCCTCTTCTCTCGACGCTTCTCATCCCTCGCTTTCTTCTGCCTCAAGCGCTTTCTTTTCTCCAAGTCGTCTATAGGGTTTAGGGGAAATTTGCTATGAAATCTCTCTACCACAAATGTAAGTTCACATGTTAAAAACAGGAAGTGTTCCGACCAGCAAATGTGTTCAGAGTTTCCCTGGAGAGGACTGGTGGTTGCAGAGCTAACTCACAAATGCTAAATTCGCATGTGAGTGGCAAATGAGCCAGATAACGATGCCGACGGCGGATCTCCTGTGACAAAACCACCCAAGAGAAATCTGTGTTTAACAGTTGTCACTGTAATGGCTACACTAAAACTGACTGAACAAAATGTGATTTGTTTCCTTGTTAGCTGACCTCAGTGACTGTGTGTCCCACTATCTCCACCACTGTGGCAGTTATAGAGTCAGGACTGGCCTCCAAGCTGCCGTATTCATGCAACAGACAACGTACATTCACAGGATGCAGGAACATCTGCTGGCAGTCTTCAGCTGGAGGGAGAAACATGCAAGAGAAGCAAAAAGTGAACAAAAAAGTCTGAGCCAACACTGAAACTTAAAACGAGAGGGAAGAAAAACCAACTAGTCCGTATAGCCAGGCCAAAAAGGACATCTGTCC